TTTTTTTTGGGGGGGGGGGGGGGGATTCAAAAAACATTCCAGGCTTTGTAGATCAGAAAAGCTCGTCAAAAAAAGTTAATTCTGAAGGAATTTATGAAGCATCAAGTGAAGGCCAATTATGGCTTGCATTTAAATGTTTGTTGAGGAACATTAATGCACACGATTGTATATTATCTTCCAGAAGATCAAAATCAGTTAGAGTTCTCATGTCTTTGTCTAATCTGAATTTCTTAACTTATAATAATAAAAACATTCAAAATGGCTGGAAATCTTGAATATGGGTACACCCGGCCCCCTATCCCACCTCGTCATTCTTTTTTTTTGTTTCAGATAAAATGATTATCAAAGCTGGAGTTTTATATGAACAAGTGTACGTGGCGTTATCATGGAAAATCTTTAATTTCTTATCAAACTATCATAATCTGCTTTCAGACGGTAATGTTAATAAGAAACTTTTCATTTCTTACATGAGGCTTTAGACACTCAGCTTGAAACATTCCATAAAAAAACTTGATTTTTGAGTTTTTTGTTCATTTGTATTAAAAATATCTTTTTTTATCACCAAATAAGGTCATGCGTACTTAAAGTTGAAAGACTTTTCTCTTTAAATACACAGATACATATCTCGTTTTAGGTAGTTATGAACCGCTTCCTTCTTTTTTCACTTTTGGTCTTAGGCACCGATGCTCTTCTTCGCTCTCCAAGTCTGCTGAGAAGGTTTTCATTTTTTTTATCTTTTTTTCAATAGATTTTAAATTGAAGAAAGATATTCGATAATGATGCCGCCACAGCTGATCCATATCCTCAAGTCCAGACCTTATGGTTTGATCAAATCGTCGACCACAATGATATGACCAGCAATGCCACATGGAAACAGGTCTGATAAATTTTTTTGAGCTGAAGATTATTAATGTTCTTTAGAAATACTACTACAACCCCACATTCTCAAAGAAGAATGATATTGTCTTCTTGATGATTGGTGGAGAAGGACCAGAAAGCAAGAAATGGACTGGAAAGGAAGATGTGAGTAAATGGCTGAAGTAAACGCTTAGAGAAGTTTCATTCAAGATTCCATACCTTACTTGGGCTAAAGAACTCGGAGCTGATGTTTTTGATTTGGAACATAGATTCTTCGGTGACAGTTATCCAACAAAGTAAAATCATTCGGATAACATAAGTTTTCATCTATTCTTCTTACAGAGACATGAGCACTCAAAGTCTCCGACTTTTGACAATCGAACAAGCTTTAGCTGATCTCGCCTATTTCATTGAAGCAATGAACATTAAGATGGGATACAAAAAACCACAATGGGTTACTTTCGGAGGAAGTTATCCAGGTATAATACCATGTATATCAGAACCACTGTTTCAACATACGTTGTAGGAGCTTTGTCAGCTTGGTTCCGTCAGAAGTACCCGACTCACACCGTGGGAGCTGTTGCCAGTAGCGCCCCAATCAATCTTAAACTCGACTTCTTCGGTTTATTTGGCATATCAAACTTGTATAACTAGCACTGTTTTGTAGAATATGCTATGGTTGTCAGTGACGATTTGATGATTACCGACCCTGTCTGTGCAAAAGCTACCAGAGATGCTTATACTCTTATCCAACAGCTAACTCTGACTGCCGCAGGCAGAAACACATTGAACAAAGAGCTCAAGTAATTTTTTGTTTCAAACATTCAATCACCCGAAACGTATACATTCTCGATGCACTGATTTGATATAAGCTTGCCTCCCTTATTACAAAGTGTTTGCTTTCAGGCTCAGCCCACCTTTCGCAGCCAATGTTACAAAGTTGGATATCAACAACTTATTTGGAAACTTGTTCAACGTATTCCAAGGAATGACTCAATACACTTATGATGGACAAGTATCTTATCGTAACCAATTTTGAATAAGGAAAATTTCATTAAAGAGAAACGCTACCATAAATCAAGAGACTGACAGAATGCTTTGTCAATTTATGACTGGCAACGGAACTTTATTGAACAGAATTTACAAATTGAATACTTTGTAATTCGGATATCTCCTTTCTTCTTCTAAACTGCACTTTCAGCTTTGACGCCCTCGAAGGAGCTACCGATGATTCTTTCCAAAACAGCTATTCAGCTTCAATCATCCCTGTTTCCACTGGAAATCTGACTCTTCTCGGACCTGATTTGGGTGAATTCGAGAGAAAATGAGAGGATAACATAGTTAAAAACATTTCAGGAGCTGCCAGAGGATGGATGTGGTTGTGCTGTAATCAAGTAGGATATATGCAAACAACTGATCAGGGAGATAACATCTTCGGAAGTACTGTACCTCTCAAGTAATCAGCTCATTACAATACACGTGAATAACGTTTATCTTGAAGTCTCTTCATCAACATGTGTGTGGATATGTTCGGCACAGACATGCGTCATCTTTTCGATGGAAATACTAAAACGCAAAACTATTTCGGAGGAGCAGATTACTACACTGTGCATAGTTAATTAAGAATAATTCATTCATTTCCCGATTTAGGCTACCAATATCATTTTACCCAATGGATCCCTTGACCCCTGGCATGCACTCGGATTCTATGGAAATGTTTCAGCAACAACAAGTTGGCTTTTGATCAATGGTCAGATAAAATGATTGAAGAAAAATGTTGCAAAATATAAATAAAATTACAGGAACAGCTCATTGCTCGGATATGTATCCTCCATACAACGGAGAACCAGCAGCTTTACCAGCTGCCAGAGCTACTATTAAGAATGCAGTCTTTTCATTTATCAGTATGTTTAGAGTCTTATCGATTAGCTTAACGTCATCTACTTAAGCTCCCGTAAAATCAGCCAGCTTCAGCCTTGTCTCCTGCAGCATTTTATTAGTTCTTCTTTTTAATTATTAAAATAAACACAATTTTTTATCAAATAAATTGCGAAATCAAAGGACACAGAAGTTGATGAGACTTCCCTTCAGATCAAACTGTACAAAATCAATCAAAATGTGTGTGTGTGAGGTTGTGTTTGCTTAAACGGCAATCATTAGAGTCAATTTCAAAGGTTTTCATATGAAAATCGAAAAAGTTAAAAATAGAGTTTCGTTAACTATACATATAGTTAAGACGAAGAAAACATTCTGTAGAAGTGCAATGTTAATAGACACAAGAATTACAAGTAGTCGTCTTACATGTCTCTTATCCTCGTTAACAGTCATCCTTCTCCTATCACATTGGCTCTCTAGCTCTATCTCCTTGAAACGGTCTCATGATTTCCATTTCTTTCCCTCTATCATATTTTCTCTCCCTCTATCCGCCTCTCTCACTCTCTCTCTATATCTCTCTCTCTCTCAATTTCTTTCTTAGGTTGTAACTTAAGTTCAACCAAAATTTAATGAGAATAATAATGAAGAATACCAAAGTTCAATAATTTTCGTTTTTCTGCTTCGTCTCTAAGAACGATTGTCTGACGTTCATTCACTGTGGACGAATGTATCCAATATCAAATATATTTGTTTTACTTAAGATTTTACAAAAGAAAAACCCTTGTGTAATCAAGATATACCAGAAGAAACAGTTGACAGACTAAAGAGAAGATGAATTAAGTGTCAGTAACTAAAACGAAAAAGCCTTCGTCATTCTTTTCAAACCAACATCCTTCTTGGCCAATCTTGACTCTTCTCTCAGCATCTCAGCACTCGTTGCGCAAAAGCTCTTGACAAATGGTCTTATCCAAAAAGAAAAAAAAACCTTTCAAAAATACAAAAAGAGCAATAGAGCTTGAGAGAGAGAGAGTAAGAAAGAGAGAGAGAGAGAGAGCAAAAGTGAAAATGATGCTCAGAGAGTTCAAGAGAGAGAGATCGTGAGATGAAAATGAGAAAAGAGAATAGTCATTGCGTTCTATTGTCCTTCTGAGATTATTGGCATTTCATGCCAAATTAAAGTTCTTTTATTGCTTTTTTTGACGTAAAATGAGTTATTTCCCCTTTGAACCATTTCGCTCTTGTCTATGTTTTATAATTTTTCAATACTTCCATTCCTCATTCACATGTATTACGCATGATGATGATGCTGATGCTGATGATGTTAGTCGTTGACGTAGGCTCATTTGCATACGACAAACTCATGTTCACGTGAATCATTTTTATAAAACTTTTGGAGTGAGAACGGTTGCACCTACTACAATCCAGTCTATTAATTCGATCAAAAACAAAAATGTACATTGCAAATGTTAATGTATCGAGAATTGGATAGAGAGAGAGAGATAGATAGAGAGATGAAGAAAGAGAATGAGAGAGTAAAAGGGTTCCTTTAACGAGCTACATCCAGTTCATTGTATTATATTAATGGAATGTAAAAGAGTTTTTGCGCTTCTCAAAGACAAAAGACGACGACCACAACGACATCGTTGATGAAGTTCAAGAGATGAAAGTATTAAGTTCTTCACTACCACATCTGCTACATTCAATGATATTTTTTCAATTTCAATCTCTGGTTTTTTGTTAATTATAACTATTCCTTTGATAATCATTGCTTTTGTTGTTCAAACGACGTTCAAATGATGAATGCAAATCAGAAAGGAGAACAGAAGAAAACCCATTTTTTTCATTCTCACACACACACACTCTCTCTCCTCTTTTGCAAATCTTGACCTGTCATTTTTGGGCGCCTCAGGGTATAGAAAAATGAAGAAACCAGCCTATATATGGAAATAAATATATTATTTTTGAATATCCGGTTTACAAGTTGCTTCCTTCTCTCATTTTCCTTCTTTTTTTTGTGGTGTCGAAAAAAAAATGGGAGATTATTCAAATCTGTGTTTTTCTATCTAATAGATTGTATGGCTTATAATCCATTCATGATCATTGATCGTTAGTTGACAAAAAAACTTTTTTTTTTTTCAATTCATCTTAGCCTTCATCTCCCCTCTGATTCGCATGTGAGAAGGTCTCAAGTTCATATCAATCACGAAATTAATTTTTTTTTCTTCTTTCATAAGAAAATTGAAGTAATAACTAGAAAGGAAATTAAGCTTCGTTCTATGGTTCTTATCTCATTATTCAAATGAATTTCATCTTCATCAGTCCTCCCATCTATCTCCCCCCCCTCCCTCCCTAGTATTCCATTCTCCTTTGCATTCACATTCTCTGCTACTTCTTATTGTTCTTTCTCTTCTTTTTTGTTAACGTTCTTTGAAAAGTGTTTGATTTAAAGTAATCTTCACATAGATAATAGTTCATAGAACGTTCGACCACAGAGAAAAGCCAAATGTAAATTTCGAATTTTCACTATATAAGCGATCACCGTTGTAAAAACCATTTTGGCGTCAGTATGAGTCTACCCTGGTGCTATTCCGATGTTATTCGAGCATTTTTTTTCAAAGGTTTGTTAATATATAATTCGGACATTGAAGCAGTGATTTTCTTATGTTCTCAAGCATCCAAGAGAAAATTCTCTCTTCCTCTCTCTCTCTATCTCTTTCTCTCTCTATGTGTTCCCAAACACCAGAATTTTTCCTCTTTTTTTTTTTTATTATTTCGATCAAGTTTTGCTAAAGCCAATCAAATTCACGTTAAGCTGACTTGAGAAACAAAAAAAATCATAAAAACTTTTGAAAAGAAAAGTAATTAGTTAGGTTTTAGTCTCTAGCTACCTCTTCATCCGTCAAAATTTACCTTCCTCTCTCTATAGCAAGTTATCTTTTCCTCTCTATGATTTATCCACTTGAAAACCTAGGCTCCACCTCTGATTCCAGTGGTGTGAAGCTCATCTTATGCTTGTCGATCTCACTGAGAACATTCACAAACACAGGTGTTTGCTCTCAAAATCTCTCCGTTTTCTTCCCTTCTTCATAATACTAATTCTTATTCAAGATATATCTCATCCTTTATATAGTCGTTGAATAACATACAAAAGCTTCTCTCTCTCTCTCTCTCTCTCTCTCTCTCTCTCTCTCTCTCTCTCTCTCTTTGACTCATCATGAACTTTGAAGGAAGAAAAAAAAACCTCCAAATGTCTTACTTTGTTATTCGTAACTTGTATATCTACAACAGAGCTTGCAAATAATCCAAAATTCTCTTTATCCTGTCACCCTTTTATGGAAAATTCACAGATTTCCTTAACTTTATCGAAAAACTTCAAATCTTTGTTGTAAAATAAGCTTTTTTTGAGGAAAAAAAAGAAAAATAAAAATAAAAAAAGACGCTATTTCTTACTCATTTCCATTGTGGAACAGCCACAACTTCCTAATTCATGTCAGTCTAAGCGACTAATACTAGTATTACTCTTTCTTACTACTACCCCCCCTCCCTTCTCTCTCTCTCTTTCTCTTCTTTCTTTTTCTCTCTTCATCTGACACAAGAAGAGAGAGAGAGAGAGAGAGAGATAGGAGGCTGGCCAGAATTAAAGTAAGAAGGAACTATCTTTACTAAATGCCGATTCGAGTATTCAATCTCGACCAGATAAGGTTCCTTCCTCCTTGTTGCTCCTCCCATCCTTCTATCTCTCTCTCTCCACTCATTCTCTTTCTCATTACAATTTCTCCTTCTGTTTTTTGAGTAATTAAAATAAATTTTAAATGTTCGTAATCATTCAGACGGCTGAAGTATTGGCCCATCAACATGACCATCGCGAGGGTTATAAGCTTAGAACATCCCGGCCATATTTCAATTCCCAGTGAACTTCTTGTTTAAGAGCCTAAAAAAAATCTGTTTCATTTTGTTTTTTTTGCTCTATTCTGCTTCTCATTTTCGTATATTTTCCAACATGAGGATATATGTTGAGGCACATGGTCATAATACAGCGGACAGAAAAGCTCCTTTTATACCCTCAGGGGGAAATTTCGACTAGTAGCTCATACGTTCGACTTGCGGCGACGCTTGTTTCCGTCCTTTTCTGCCGCCTCAAGTCATCTCCTCCCATTTTCTCATTTTGGTCTCCTTGACTCACAGACATCATTCTGACTAAAATACCACCAGAACGAATCAAACGAAAGTTGAAGAGACGTGCTGGAGCTTTCGTCGTTCACCCAACCAACTCTATATTTGCGGCATAATTTCTGATCATTCTGATTTACTTTCTATAAGAAGGAAACAGAAGTTAATCAGAAAGCCGCAAAATAAGAAAGAAATCACTTTATCCTTCTGTAAATCTTTGTGTGTTGGAATCAACATCAGCCATTCTATGTGTGGCAGTACTAAAACTATCCAATGATATATAACTTCATGAGTTGTCTGCCACTCTGTGGACAAAGCTCAGGTATATCCAAAGATTATTCCGAAACATTTAATCTCTCTCTCTCTCTTCTTATTTTCTATCTTTCGTTCTCTCATTGCATGCTTATTCCATTTCTATATATGTATGTATCTTGCACATTCCCTCTTAATCACAAATAGCAAGTAAAACAGAAATATTGTTTTCCTTTCAATATTCCTACGTATAAATACGTCTGAAGCAGTCTGAACATGCTGTGAAATAAAAAAACTGTTATTTTCTCTTTTCTCTTCCGTTTACTTCTTCCAAATTTGCTTTAAGTCAGTTTACTGCTGACTTCCATTTGGAAACGAACATCTTCCGCTTCTTTCTCCAAAACTTATTAGAACCGTTAAGAGATTGCTTCGAAACAAACTCTCTGTGAGCATTTGAAAGAAGATTAAATTAAAATTCGAAAGAAAATTTCATTTATTTACTCCCACTCATGATGATCATCATCATCATCGTCCGCCAAAACTTTTATGTTCATCCATTTGGTTTCAATGTTAAAACTTCTGGCGTTATCCCTTCCCAGCTGTTCAAAGATTTAACTAATCGTTCGAAGCTTTTGGTCGATATGTATTTGCTTTTTCCTGAAAATCATCATTTTTGTACTTTCAAAGCAGCTTTGCTTGATCTGCTTTCTCGTTTCTTCTTTAAAAAATCACAGCTTACATCCTATCAACTTCTCATCATAAACAATATTTTCAACAAATCACTCTCGTTTTCAGATCTCAAGATGTCAGCGGCATCATCGCCATCAGCTTCATCTTCATCATATGACGATGAATGTTCCAAAGAATGTTCTGTTTCATTTACCTACGATCCAAATAACAATAGTAATAAGCTGAAAGAGAATGAAAGTCAAGTAAGTTAATTTTCCTTTTCAATTTTTTAATTTTTGAAGCAAAAATGCCTTTGTTGATGAGTTTTGTGTCTTTTTTTTCAAAACTTATTCTTTTTTCGACAATATGTTTTCTACTTTACATGTTCTGCTCTCAAAATCTATTTTCTTTACAAAAAAAGAGAGAAAAAGTTGCTTTCTATTCTATACAAGATAACTCAAGTAAATAAACATATACACACATTGTCCTTCCATGATATTAGATGGTCGGATTTTGGAGACAAAGGCGAAAGACGGATTTCATCTAGAAGCCAACGGCTGAGCTTATTCCCTTTCTCTCTCTCTCTCTCTCTCTCTTTACAAATTTTTTTCTCAATTACGCATAAAAAGCATTCTGTTTACATTCCTTAATATATTATAAACAATCTAAATCTTCTCAAATAACTTTTACATATTTCAGGAAGATGATCTGAGTGAATTGACAGATTCTGTTTCAAGTCAACTTCGTTTGGTTGATGAGCCACCCAAGCCAACAACCCATGTAAATGTTTCAATGAAAGATCTGACTACCATTGTGACAATCGGTAAGTAAAGCACTCTAGCAATGAGCATTCTAGCTCTCTCTCTCTCTCTATCAACTTGCTTTTTACTGAAAAAAGCAGAAAAAAATATTTTTTAAAAACGAAAACGAAAAGGAAGAAGAAAACACTGTGTTTGAATGCAACCGCTCCTCCAATTAACATATAGAGGAAATGAGTTCGACGTCATTTCCACGTTGTCGCCATTTTATCGCTTAGAGACCATTTTCTGAGAGATCATTCAGTTTCTGCAACATTCCCATTTTATGGAGAGTAAAGGAGAAAGAGAAAAAAAAAATTTCAAATTTCATCCACAAAGTATGAAAATATATTTTGTGGGTGAAACGAAACGAACGAATATGGACAGGAAAACATAAATTTTGTTTTTTTGGCCTCCCTTCCCGCTTTCTTCTATGATTTCGAATGTTTACACTTGCCCTACATGCTAATCAATTTAATAATTCCAAAAGGCGTAAATGTTTCGGCGTTTGTGTTGTGAATGGAAATTCCTGGAACGATGTTGGTGAATATCTTGTTTGAAGCTACAAGTCTCTCCTTCTCGCAACCATTCAATGCAATTGAAAAGTTTATAAAAAAAATGACAAAAAAATTGTTTTATTCGTCTCAAGGGGATAGTTACAAACTTCCTTTTGTCTAATGTCACTCCATATATTCAAAATTTATATTTCAAATGGAAACTACTTGTACTTCAACTATTCAAGTTCAAAGTCTGAAGGCAACATTTTCATTGCAGTTTCGAGTTGATCACAATAGTTTGTGAGGAGAAGTACAGCCATGGTGATAAATCATTGAAATATTTGATATTATTGAGAGGGAAGATGTCTAGGCTGCAATAGGATAGAGAGTGAGTGATGTTAGGAGGTAGTTAGAAGGTATCTCTATACAAGAGAGTAAGAAATCTGGAGAGAAGAGATAGACAAGATGGAGAGCTTGAATCTTTTCTATCTTATCCGATTGAACAGAAGCTTAATCCAGAAGTTGATTGTGTTGTAACAGAGCGTTCAGCCAATGTCTATCTGGAATAATAGCCTTCATTAGACATCAGAGGTCAAAATGAAGAAAACAATAGGGAAAATAACAAGAAAAACATATAAATATAATAAAGTTGTAAAAATCTATTTATAGGTACGGGTACATTTGGTCGTGTTGAGCTGGCTAGACATCAGGACAATGGCCAACATTTTGCTTTAAAAGTTTTAAATATGCATAAAGTAAGCACCGAGAATATTCTTTTGAGAATAAAAAGTTTTTTTTCTCTTCAGGTAGTACAAACACGTCAAGTTCAACATGTTCACAGTGAAAAGGAGGTTTTGAATAAGCTTCAGCATCCATTCATCGTACAACTGTGAGTTGTTAAGCTGTTGCAACAAGTCATTACATGTTCTTCCGTGTTAAGATTTTCAACTGATAAGGATGAGAAGAACCTCTATATGATTATGGAATTTGTTCCGGGTGGAGAGTTATTCAGTTATCTTCGTGCTTCTCGTGTTTTTTCGAATTCTATGAGCAGATTTTATGCGGCTGAAATCGTTTCTGCTCTCGACTACATTCACTCAAAAAACATTGTAAGAAGATGAATATTTGGAAAACTTCGTCATTAAAATGAATTATTTAAAGGTTTATCGCGACTTGAAGCCTGAAAATCTGATGTTAACGAAGGAGGGTCATATCAAGATGGCTGACTTTGGTTTTGCCAAAGAGTTGAAGGATAGGTAAACAGCAGATAAATCATTCAAAGCGTATTCAAATCCTTCTTCAGAACATACACATTATGCGGAACTCCCGAATATCTTGCACCGGAATCTCTCTCGAACAAAGGGCATAATAAAGCAGTTGATTGGTAAGAATCAAGTAGCCGACTTTTGATTTCAAATATTTGTATTAGGTGGGCGCTTGGTGTTCTGATTTATGAAATGATGGCCGGACGTCCACCATTCCGTGGAAAAACAACAACAGAAATTTATGATCGGATTATTGAACACAAGCTGAAGTTTCCACGAAGTTTCAACTTAGTTGCCAAGTACAGAAGCGTTGTTGTGTGCAGTCATAACATACTCACATCTTTGCAGGGATTTGGTTAAGAAACTCCTGGTTGTTGATCGAACACAGCGGATCGGAGCCATGAAAAACGGTGCACGAGATGTGATGGAACACAAGTGGTTCCAAAAAATAAATTGGAAAGATCTCAACGAAATGCGTTTAGAGGTAAGACAATTGGGGCCGAAAAAAAAAAGAGCCGAACGAGGAAGAAGAATGAAAAGTAGACAAAGCTTAAACACATATCTGCATGACGTCATTCAATAACAGTTTTGTATTTTCAGCCACCAATTGTGCCAACACTTTATCACTCAGGAGATACAGGAAATTTTGATACCTACGATGAGAATAATGGACCCAGCCCTGTGGTACCTCAGAGGGAAAGAGATCTCTTCGCTGATTGGTAATTAAGCCAACTCAAATCGTTTTTCTTTTTTTTTTCTGTAAAATTTCATGAAAATACTTGTTTTTTCGTGGCAAAATTCACATTTTCTTCTTAAACATTGTCTTTTCCGTTGTCTAGAGGCATTAGATGGATTCATATGGTATTTCGCTTGTAATTTGCATATTTCAATTGTAAATAGACTCTAGCTGTATGGGTAGCCGTATGAATGATTTTTTCTTTTTTTTTCTTAACCAAAAAAAAAAAAGTAAATAAACACTTGCCTTTATGATATATCTCATCTTAACTATACGTATGTATATATTATATTTCGAACGAAACTGTAAGTGTAGATGATCATCATTGAGCAAATGTAAAGCCGTGGGAGTCCTTTGACGTCATTCCGGCTTCGCACAATTGACAGCTGTCTCTTCTTCCAATTTTTCAATGAAACAAAAAACTTTATAAGAATATTATTCATTTAATGTGAAACATTTGTTTTTACTTTATTTACGATCTCAAAACAACTGATAAAGCTACTTGATAAACACAATCATGTGTCAATTAGCTTTAAAACATTTTCGTTTCGTTTAATTCACTGAACATCATGAACAACAAGACAACTCAATTGATTATGGGATCAAACTATCATGTATACTAGTTTAATGAAAACTTTCTGTCTCTCTCAATTTTTATAGAAAAATTTAAGAACAACAAATAACATACTGAATATTCCAATTTTTGTTTCCATGAACAGCTGACGATGAATGACGACAATGGTGATTCACTTGCAAAAGGCTATTAAATATCAGAAATGGTTAGAGAAAGAAGTTTGGCAGACATTTTGCAATAGAAGTTTGCAAAACAAGGAACAACCGTTCAAGTTTCTCACACATATATTAGAATGAGTTTCATACTCACGTAACGTCCACGTGAAAACCCACGTGAAATCACACGCCGAAAATATACGTCATACAACTCATTTACACAAGCAACATTTGAATGGAGCGGTCACTGAAAGATAAAAAAATAGTTTTCGTCAAAAATTGGTTTTTTGATATATTGCCAAGTGTTAAGTGAGTCATTTTGTATATACAGTATACCATAAGCATATGTCCAGTCCTTGGTCTAGCGATGTTATTCAATTCAACACGGTTTATGATGCATCTATGTTTGAATGGTAATGGTTCCAAACTTGTAATTCATTAAGATAAGATCTCTATAGGAGATTGAGCATAGTCAGAGACTTCCCGGAACCACTAGCTGTACCATTTGGAATTATTCGTAACAGCAATGTTCAGGTATCATACTTCACGATTTCATAGTCAACTCACCTGTTGATGCTAGTTGAACTTGGAGCCTTGCATATCAACCTTGTCGATAAAGAGTCAATATTCCATAAAATGCATATTCGGGTTACGAGTAGAAGAGCCAAACACAACAAAAGGTGTGTCTTTCATAGAAACTTCAATCAAAACCCTAATTCAGTATTGTTCTTTTCAACATCTCATGAAACAGAAGAGCAAAAAGTAAACGATGATTTCGCAGGTTTCCATATACCCCAAGATAGTCCGTTTGGAGATAACTTGAATAGAGTTTTCTCGCAACCGTGTCATAGACGTTAGTTTTTCAATCGCGTTCGTTACAAAAGTGTGTTCAGTTAAAACTTGCCATATCACAGTGACCATGATCATGAACAAATCTGATTATGAAATACAAAATAGTTTCGCTGACATCCCTCTGTTGTCAGCTGATGGCAAAGATTTTCGTTTCAATACCATAAATAACAAGTTTGTAAAGTCTTGAGAAGCAGAAAAACCTGCAGTCAATCAGATCGAGGCAAGATTTCACTATCAAGACGATGAAGGACGGAGAGTCGTACAAGGCATCTCGAGAAGCCCTCTACATCTGCTCTTCATATTTTCGTCAAAAGATAATGGAAGAAGGAGTTATTAAGGACGAGATTGAGTTAGACACTTCGATTGAAGCACTTAAAACGGTATGTGTTAGTTCGTAACTCGCTTTGAGAGTCCTAATATTGCAGACAGTGATCTATGCCTTGACAGGAACGTTTTCGCCACCAGATCAACTCACAATTGAACTTGCTAACGAAATATTAAACTTATCCGAGCAGTTATCTGTTATGAATAGAAGAGACTTGAAGCGAGTGATTGAACGAGTGGCTTCAGAAGAGCTACAGAAGGTACCCGATTCTGTAAACGATTCCCAATCTCTAATGATTTTTTGTTTCACAGAACAAAATGAATTTAGAAATAGTACTCGAATGGTTATTAACGGCTCGCGATATGCGACTGTCACGTCTAGAGAATGCTGCTTCTGCTATGATTCTTCAATTGCACTTCTTAGATTTGTTGGAAAAATATGAGGATAACGTGGTGCCTTCGTGTTCTTTGCAGTCGTGTTGAATAACCTTCTACTATTATAGGAGAACGGAAGCAGATCGAGCTTGCATACCCGATTACATCACAGTCAACGAATTTTTAGAACCTCCGCCTACGTAAGTCTTAAATCTCCTGACACAACACATACGATAAGGTTTAAGCTTAAATTACTTCATTTGAAAAGGAATTCACAAAGTGTTCATTGTATAGAATATTCATGAGATTTTCTGTGCTTCTCTAGCAGTATTTTCCTCCGTTCGTACTGAAATAGTTGAAATTAAAATATTTTTCTTTCTCATTCAAAATCTTACTCAGCAGTTCTAATTAATGTACGAACAGAATTCAAGATGTTTGTATTCAATTCATGAACATCCTCGGTGACGAACGCACATTGTTTACCAGAAAGTGGCTGAAATGTATTCGATGAGACGATTGAAAAGATGATAGTATAGCCATACTATGAGATTATTGATGTCCAAACCAGGACCGTAACCGACGGTAATCATTCCGTAGTCACCAGCAGGTTTCTGAGGTCCATCGGAGAAGTCAGTAGTTGAAGTTAAATATATGATGACATGGTTTGTAATAGAATTTCGATATCCACTACCCTTATAGTCGTCGCTTTCACAAACGTCCATAGCTCTTTAATTATGCCGATTATGTATAGAAATAGCGCTATATTACTTACTCTTGTAAGTTTTGACCTCCGTCAGCGGGGGTTGCGTATGTTTTCAAATCGTCCAAGTATTTGTGCAGAGAGGCTTGTTGGGTCATAGTGTTCAAGAAGGCAGCAACCATCTAACATAGACATGAATAATTATACTTGGGTTTATTAAGCTGAAATACCTGATCTCCGGGGATACCTGTAACACTAATCAACGATACACGGGCTTGTGTCTGACTTATTGGGAAAGCGACCATCAGTGTTTGAATGAACGAATAAAGCTAAAATAGAATAGAGTTGAAAATATAATGATGAAGGTACTAACTGTTGGGAGGGTGTTTTGGGATGATACTGTTTGGTCTACGAGGAAGACAACGTCGAAGATTAATGGAGTAGCTGGTGCAGCCTATATATCATTTACTCATACTTTTGAGAAATGGTTTCAACTAACGCTAGGGGAAGTGGTTGGCATAGCCGTTGCCTGAGTAGTTTGAGCCTTTTGAGTTGTAAGCATTCGTGAAGTTGTCGATGTTAAGGCCTGTACTGGAGTTTTGCCAGTCGTTTGAGTAGTCATCGGGGGTGAAAGAGCTATAAGGAGAAGGATATGTTACAGAACTTTCATGTATATTACTAGTAGTCTTGTTGTTTCCAAGACAATACGAAGTGTATTGGCGGCGGAAAGCTTGGTTGTTTTCATCCACTCCATGGATGAAAACTGTTAAGAGATCTGAGTCGCAAGTGAATGGATCAGATACATACTCATAGGCACAGTTGAGTCTAGGATAGAGTGGGGAAACCAATACATCCTAGATAATGAGCAATGACTTAAAAAACAAATTTTTCAACATACGTATCCCTTATCAGAATCATAGATCTTAGCATATGTTAAGCGACCACGATGACCGAAGTTTCCAGATAAATGAGCTGTAACGACATTAGTCTCTGAAATTTAAGTTCAGAAAGTATGTTATGGAGTTATTCTTATTACGTCCGGCGTATGGACTGTGTTTTAGACCATCTTGACGAGATCCAGTTGGGTTGGAAGCGGTAGCTTGGGCATACAAGGGGTATACTGTAACTCCTCCCTGAGTATAGATTGAGACATAACAAGATCCTGGAGAAGTCAGCTTAAATTTCATGAAATTAAATGAGAAATTTTTTGATGTATTTACGCTAATCTTCCAGATTCCTCCTGGAGAAGCTGCTTGCATTGGATTGATACGATACAACCGAGTGATACCATCGCTGGCGACTAACTCAGGTGTAATGCTGTCTTAAATGTTTCGTTGGAATTGCCAATTTAGCATATATTTATAATAACCTCGACTAGGGCTTCTAGCACCAACAGATCCAATTTGAGCAGATGCAGCGACATAGATGTATGTGGTGTTGAAATCAACACTAATAAGCCATGAAGAAGAAGTTCCACAAGTGAAAGTTCCGTATGTTGGATACGAAATAGTACTTGATGCATAGCGTGTTGGGAGGAAAGTTGCGAAGTACTTAGAATAAGTTGATATTTTGTACAAAATTTATAGTTTACTTGTCCGATTCCGGCATTTGTGACGAAAGCTACAGTTCCTTCAGATGTGTAGGCCAATCGTACAATGCTGTTCACAGAATCTCCTGGAGTTGTACCACAGTCACTAGCGGAGTAGATGTAATGAAGCTAAAGACATTATAACATTTCAGAATAACATTATGGACTATTTACAGTGATTTGTGCATCAGCTAATACATGGAGATCGTGTGTTCGCACGCTTGCAGCGTCTGCGACACCGGCAGAAGTGATAATGACCATTTCTGAACGTGGATATTGCACGTAATTGAAGAAATCACTATTCATGAAGGTATTGATAGCACTAAATTCGTAAATGATAAATTAAATTCTCTCTTCACATCAAACTGACTTCCATGTAGGCATAGCACAGGTTCCAGCATCAGTGGCATTGAAGATACTTCCTAAAATGTATCTGCGAGCAGAAACCACATCATCGAGCAATTCTATCTGCACACTATTTGCTGAAATTATAAGTAAGTTTATTAATTAGTTGACTTTTCGCTAACAGTCGAAAGTAACAATGATGAAACTGTTGAACCAATTGCTAGGTCCACCATTAACAGCTTGAACCAACTTATTAGCAAACTGTAAGGATTGTATCAGTTCACACTACTTCCAAGTTCTCTCATACGTTAGTTGCAGCATCAGAGTTTCTGAATGTGTTCTCCAAAACAATAACCAAAGACTTAGCATATTCGATGAATGGACTTGTGTTCATACGTACACAGGTCTCTTGAAATTTTTTGATATACTGTAGGTATTTTATACTATATGATACCGTATTGACAGTTGAATCCAGCATATCCGTCTGGGCATATACACTGCCTTCCGTTCTGAGCTAAAGTTCCATTGTTCACGCAAATTGGAACAGTACAGAAGCTTCCTATAATTTACTAGGTTAATATACAACGCTTATACTTATTCTGTATACCTTGCCAGTATTCGTCACAGATACATTGTCCGTTGTAGTTGTATCCACCATTTCCGCAAGTTAAAGCTTCAAGTTTAGGATATTAATTGAAATAATAATTGAATATTACTTGGTTGACTACAGTGACCGAAGGTGAAACGTTGGAAGGAATATCCGAATTCATCTTCTCCAGTATGCTGAAATTAGAGAAAAAGTTGAAAAGTTGAACTTGAGCACATACTATAATGGCTAATTCATTTCCATCATCAAATCCAGGTGGGCAAGCGAAGGTTTGAGATACCCAAGGCCATTCGCAGTTCAAACGATATTGGTATTTAGCATTATCATAGAAAGTACCTGAAATCAGTAAATTCTTTTTCTATCACAAGAAGAAGAGTTGATCATCGTGGAAAAATGATTAGAAACTTGTAGAGCATAACAACCCAAATACAAGAAGAGTTTTCAAACTTACCATTGTAGGCATCCCCAACCCAAGCGTTGAGAAGAATTGGTGTTCTCATGGAATTATCTTGAGATTGGACATAGGTGATCAAACGGTTAGTTGAAGATTCCTATATCATATAGATTGAGATAGAACTAAATATAACTATCTTACAACAATAGGATCATTGTTTGGCCAGTCTTGAACAAAGTTATTGACGTATCCAGTTATAAGTTGTAAGCTTGATTGTACACGAACAGCTACATTACACATCTAGAAAGGAAGTATATCAAGAGCTTCAATCAGATCATTAGTACTGGGTTAGCAGGATAGATAGTACTTGGGGTGGTGGTGATTTGAACATAGTATTTACCAGCGGGAAGATGATCTGAATTTATAATTTATAGTAAATATGAATAGTATAATAATTGATACCGCTAGCGTCGTTTGGATCTGGGAAGTAAGAAGTATCATAAGTGTGCTTTTCACAGAGGAAGAATCTAGGTTCAGCACAAGTTGAACCAGTCCAGGTATCACCAGTGAAACGATGAAGGCCGTTCCAATACATACATTGCAAAGTTTCATCCTCAGGAGGAGCACCACCGTTCCAGAATGAATTGTCTGTGTCTGTTTGGATCTGAACTACTTTCTCCACTTTTGAAGAAAAAATTTCTCAACCTTCACAGGCTGTAAACCGTTGGCTCTGTCCCATAACCAAGTACCATTATTAAATCCTCCCATCCAGAAGGAATATGGCCCAGCCAATTGAGCTTAAATATACAATTAAATATAGTTTTTCAATTGTCTTCTACTTGTGATGAAGCTATGAGTATCGGTGTTCAAATCATCGGATAGTTGACCTCCGGAATTGTGACAGAAAGTTTTAGCAGATGGCCAGGTTAACAACTCTTGTCCGAAAAGATAGCAGCTAGTACCGAACTGAGTCCAACCAACGTCACATGCTAAAAACTGTTAGTAGAAAAGTGCCTCGAAAGCAGTAACGAACGTTTGTGAGCTTCAAATACTGAAGTCATAGAAAACTCGTCATACGCTATTTGTGTGACAGGAACATCATTTCCTAAAACATAATGCTAAGTTTCATACAATTTCTGAACCAACCATAAATATCTCGGATGCTTACTGCAGGATTTTGTCCATACACATTGAGTTGAATAGTTTGTGTGTAGGAATCGACTGGGAAGTAAGCCTTGATATATCAAAAATTATCCAATGTTATCGATTTAATTCTTACCGTGACTGGTGTTGTACAATCGAGAGATTGGAACGCATAGACATTCTGATTTGAATACTCGAGAGGAATTGTTTTCAGAAGCTGAAACTCAGAGAAGCTTGTATTGAACGATATAATGAGAACAGTACACTTGCTACGGTAGCTTGCTGAGAGGCGTAAATAGTTCCCATTCCGCTGTAAGTTAATGCTTCTAAGGGTCCTAGTGATTCCTGAAAATGGTATTCTTGAAGTTTTGAATGGACATTGTAGTGATATACCCAAGTTGAGTTACAGTATAAACCAGTGGGGTTGGCATCAGTAGCAAATCGGGGCGAAACACCCAAATACACAGTCATATGGAGGTTCATAGCTCTCAAATCTTCATATAGTTCTACCCATTCAGAGAATCTAGTGAGATCAGGGTTGGAAGCCTAAATCGGTAAATGGTCTTTCACACTAGGAAATGAACCATACCATGAACAACTCCAAATGAGAACCGAACCGTACATCACCTCTGCGAACGGCTACGTCTAAGGCACGGTAGAGCTAGACGAATAGAATGAAAACTTCAAGTATAAACTTGTTTTACCTGAACATTACATCCCTTATCAGATGGAATGACACTAGCAACTTCATTAAGTTTTTCAATAACTCCCGAGGGATCCCAGGCAGGAGAAATAGCGAGAACGTCTCCCCAAGTAGTATTGAATCCTACGAGGACAAACCGACTAATCCAGAGTGGGTTGACATTTTGAACGTCTTTAATCAATGAGGAAAGATGTTTAGATAGGTAGGCAACCTTAAGAAAACCATCAATAAGTATTTGAATTCCAACCAACCTGTCCGAAAGCATTCTGTGTAAGCTCAACTGCGAAAACCATATCGACCTGTCCGAGCTCAAATTCTGGTGAAGCTCCTCTAGCCACGCAAGCCACTGAAAAGATATTCTTCAAACTTAGAGTGTCAAATTACGAAATTACTAATTTCACACGATGTTCCGACAAAGCCAACTGTGCAAGCACATTTGTTTCCAGAAGGAGTTCCTCCATTGGCACAATCCTATATTAATTATGTTTTTGGAACGCTATTTACAAAAACTTACAAGCTGTTCGCAATGAGTTCCCTTGAATCCCAAGGGACAATAACAAGTAGTGTTAGCAGCATTCATAACTCCACCGTGCAAGCAATCGCTAGGAGGTCGGCTAGTGGGTTGAACTATAAACGAATATTTGAAAAGAAAGAAATTTTTCTACAGACTTTGTGTGCAAGTGAAAGTTCCAGCTCTCTGGATGCTGAATCCGCGGTTTGTACCAATATAAAGCTGAAATGGAAGTGTAAATGATGAAGATTGTGAAGATCTGTTATTACATTGAATTGCATAATCTCATTGGGAATTCTACAGTGGAAATCAGGGAAATAGAAGTTATGAGCACATCCATCACGGAAGAAACCATTTGAAGCATAAACTTGAGTTTGTTTGTCTTCTCTAACTGCATACACTTCGAGGAATGATCGAGACATCTCTTCAGGTACGCTGACAAAATTCTTTACATGGAAGCTGACAGACTGTGTAGTTCCTGAAACAACCGACAGTATTTCTCATAGACTGAAAATTATAACTGACCAACAAGAGGCTCCAAAAGGAATCCATCATAGTTCATGGCTTCTGAGAAGCTATAGAAGATATCATACTGAGGAGAGCTTGCTGAAGAAAACAAAACAATTTTTAAAAAAAACCGAATCCATTACGAAGATAATCATAAGCTTTCTGATAAATTTTCATGCTACATGGCTGGGTTCCATCACCGGAGCTCACTTTGAAGAAGAAGTTTCCAACATGAAGACCGTTCAATTGCCTATAAAGAAGACTCTTGTGCTATACATAACAGACTGCATACCAGATATAGTTAACGCCATCAGAATAAACAGTGGTAACCATATTAGACATGTCATATCCTTCAGGAGCAGTCACACTGAGAGATAATTTTGCTACAAACAAAACATATCAGTTTTATAAGAAAACGATAGTTAACTTCCTAATGCAACAATGGTCAATCGGTCAACAGATGTATCAACAGCCAAGCTTTGATATGGAGGTTGAGATCCACATACCTATAACAGAAGAGTTGTACTTTAACTCAATAGGCTTATCATACCGGATAGTCAAATTGGTACATAAGTTGTGTTTTATAAAGAGTGGTTGCCATATGACTATTGAACAAAGGTTGGAAAGATGCTCTGTTGGTGACGTAGAACAGTTCTCCGTTACTCTTTGCTGCAACTTCACCCATCTTTCTGTATAAAGACAATAGTTTACTGATAAGTTTGATTAATCACCTGAATGCGAAGCCATCAGTTGAAATAGGACAGGTAGGATCTGGCTTAACTAAGATGAAATGAATCTGCAATTGGTTGATTATTCAATGAGTGCGATCAAAACAGTACTGGTGTTCTCCAGATAGCTGATTGGAAGAAAACTTGATCAGCATAGTCGGTATCACTTGGAACAGCATCAGTGATGACATATATTGGTGATTTGTTGGTTGGCATACGGTCCAAGGCGGCACTAAAAGGAATTGATAAATATTTCATGTAAGTATAGTTAACCTTGTGGCTTGGAAAACGATATCACTACAATCTCCCTCATTATCTTCGACACTGCTGTAGAAGATCAAATCACCTATGAAGAGTTTTGAGTCAGTATAAGCTTGTGTGAACAAGATTTCTGAAAGAATTTGATTATTCCGTTTCCGTAAACGTTTGGCCAACCGTTGTTGTTGAAGAAAACGGCAATGAAGTTGGTCAAATAGGAAGGATCGAATTCAAGACTGTTTACAATATTTCTAGTAGCATTGACAACCTAGAGAGAAAACTTAATGTAAACATCCAGGGAAATGTACAAACCGCATCGGCAATATCTTGAGTCTGGTGACGCACACGAATTACGAACACTAAAGTTGGATGTTCGGCATCAAAGTCGTATCCCTGCTCATTGTCGCAGAACACTTTAAGGAAGAATGATTAAATGATTTTCAACAACAAATGTTAGTTTACTATGTTCACAATGATCTCCGGTGAACTCTCCTGGACACCAACAGAAGTTGTTCTTGACCGTTCCTTAAATAATAATTTCATTTCCTTCCTCATGCATTTCAGGTACCTCCGTTGAAGCATACAATGTTGGAACAATCAGGTCCAGCCCATCTATCATTACAATAGCAATATTGAGTTCCATCCAAGTTAGTGATCTTAATAATGAATCTCCTCTTTACTTTTACTTTCATTATCTGTGTTTACCAATGTTCCACTGTTGTTGCAAGCTGTTACTGGAGCGAGCGTTGTTGTTGCTGGAGTTCCAGTTGATGGAGCATCTTTAAATATTTTATTTTTATTTTCCTTTTTTTTTTCAAAAAATTGTTTCTTAAAATCTGGGAGGGGCCGGTTTGCTCATCTCACAGCGTCATTAAACGGAATATTCTTGACGATAAGATATTTTTATGGTTATGGCTTGTGCATCGTTTTATCATTTTGAAAGCGCAAGATTCGATTGAAACTATTTGCTCTATAAGTTCATTTAGATGGATATACTCACTTGCACAGGTAATTGGGTACACTCTGCGGAAGGTGTATCCTTGGAAAGTTGTTCCTTGAATCTGAAAAACTTTTTATGATACGTGATTCATCCGAGCATCATACATAATATAAGAAGTCTCCTGATTGACGACAAACGAATGACTCATAGATATACTCATGAGAACAGTTATAACGGATACCCAAAGGAAATTCCCGATAAGCATTCTAAAGAATTAGAAATTTATGTTTTCGTTATCACTCTTTATGACACTTACATTGTTTCCTCCACTGAAGGCAATTGTATCCAAGCTGGCTGGAGTTTTAAGTCCGTTTCCATGGAAAACACCTACAGCTAGCTGATCTTTGTATACGAATCCCTTAGAGGGGAAATCGCTTCGAGCGGGTTGTCCTCCTTCATCATTCACAAAACCTCCTCCGATGTTGAGATATGTCTGAGCTCTGACTGTCAGTTGACAGAAATGAGTCTTGACATCAGCCATTGGTAACAGGTTATACTTTCCGGGTAACAAAGAATCATAGAAACCCTAAATGAAAACATAGAGTCAAAGCTTGGCAAATCTTTTTCTTACATTATAACGATCAGATCTTTCAAAGATATCGATTGGAATCTTAACGTCTCCTAAAATAGTATGGTTGAGTAATCCTCAGAGTTAATTTGAGGTACCATTGGAATCAATAAGAGAAAAGACAGGATTGATAGCAGCATCTGTTTCGAGCTCGATTCTGATGTTTTGCATAGTTTCATCTACGTAAATAGTATAATGAGCTGTGCAATTAGCAATAATGGCGGAATCAATTGTGGCTCCCTGACATAGTTATAAGTATGTTTTACTTGAAATCCGAAATCATACCTCTCCATCAGTTACTGGATTATCATCTGGCTTAGGATTCTGCTGAGAACAGACAGCTGAAAGGCAAGGAACTGTTAGTATCAGGAGAATATGACTTACGCCGACAAGTGGCTCCGACATAACCAGGAACTCTACATGAGCTATCAGCATTGTTGGTTGAGAAATTCACATCCCTTTTGCTCCGTTTATGCGAATCAGGCGAAATATCTTCTATCTTCAAACATATGAATTATTATATTGGAAAACTCCTGTATCTATACCAAGTCACTATCTACATCTAAATGTTCAATGAAATCCAGGGCTTTCTGAGGATTCCATGACTTTAATACTAAAAAAAGAAAAATGAGATTGTTGAACGAGAGAAGAATCTCTCACTGTCTTTTATTTGATCTGATTGAGATTGTTGAGCCGCATAGACTGCCGTCCACAGGACGGTCAGCCAAAGGAGACGCATCAGCTAGAAAATGAAATTGAGTAATGGAAAGAGGAAAAGTAATATTCAGAAATATTATGAAAGCCAAAAAGGTACGTTTCAAATGAATTCAGTTGATTGTCACACTAATATCTTTTGATAGAGAATTGACAATAACCTTTCTCTCTCACATCACTAAAAGTCATTAAACCATTAAGATAGGAGTATTATTTGAGTTTTTAATAGGTTGTGATAGAAGAGGAGCAAATAATACAAAGTTATAATGATTTTCTATACATCAAGCAACATTTAAGGATCAACTTCAAAGATATCCTCGGTGCAGTCTAGGGGTTTGCTACAGTACTACTGGCTGTCTCTCATGATGAGAACGGTGGTGAAGCAATTAGATGGAGGTTCATCTTCTTCTATTACTGTCTAGATGATTTAAGATGATTGTAACTCGCACAAAACATTGAACTCGACATTTCGAGAAAAAGAAGTTCATGTAGTTGGGCAAAGGGTGTTAGAAGCGTGAACCGGAAATCCCGAGCAGCATAGAAAGGAGTTTCCAGCCATGATAATGATAAACTTTCCATTAACTATATATTTAACGTAATATGCAGATATTTATCAAAGTAAATAATAAAAGACAACAAATTCGAAGGCTTTACTGTAAATTTTAGAAAAAAGATTCTCCCGAAGCACTAATGACTTTGTGAAAACTTATCAGATGAAAGTGATTCGTCATTTTATTACGTTTTACAGCTTTTCTAATCTAATTTATATACTTGCAAGCATTTGTGTCATTTTATAATTAACCTAGTATGAGTATATACGTTGAAATATGCTAATTACGGTTTGATCGCCCACGTGAGTCATACGTATAAATTTCATTTCTATCAAAGTGGTAAGATGAAACGGTTGCATTCTAATCGTTGTCTCTGGATAGAACGTGGCAGAGCCTTAATCATTTTTTGAAAGCTCAATAACAGGCTCTTTGGGGTAGAAAGCTTGAATAGTTGAAATGGGATGAGATGCTATCTAGAACACTGTTATCTAATCGAGTAAGTCGAGGCGACTAACGGCTAAAGCTTGGAATAATATGAAACCTGTGAGAATGTTTATCAAAAAATTAAAAAAATTCTCCGGAAGTTAATACTACATATGTTCATCGATGAGATAAAAAATTTGAATATCAACCAATCACTAATCAAGTCCTCAGATGTAGGAGAATCCACGTAGTTTTACAGCCATAATGAAACGCCTGATAAGCAGTTCTTGCTACTGAAATCTGAAGAACATTCTTATTGATCTCCAGACTTATACATAAATTCATTTTTATTACATTAGAAACGTTATTATAGTTTTTTCTTGTAACAGGATCAGACCTCCCAATCTGCTCTTAAGGATTGTTTCATATTGTTGCTACTGTTTAATTCTAGGTACTAGACCTCCCAACAATGCGTTTGTGGCTGCTACTTATAGCAGTGGCTGCAGCCACATCGACATCTGATGTCGACCATGTGCTTAAAGGTTCTTTATTTTCTTCATTTCTTTTATGAGATATATCTGATATTTCAGTTTTGAATTCATGGAACCCACATAAGCCTCATAATGTACTAGATCATCCAATTATTGAAGTTTGCTCAAGAAATTACATTCTATTTTACATCCGTTTATAGGGAGAGGATGAATCTGTTCGGCCTGCTGTAAGCTCATATTATCTCCCAACAAACGCAAACTGTCCCGTATTAGGATATACTGGAGAACATTGCACTGCACGTAAGTTTCAACTCTTATAGCTGATAACAGGCAAAGAGACCTGAGAAACGTTACGAAAACCCATTTTCAGCCGTTTGCGAAATCACAAATTGGAATGTGAAAGATCCAGATACCGTAAATGGACCGGTAACGTTTCTAAGACAGAATTACCTAACTGAATGAGCATTATTGAAGGCTGCACTCGTTGATGTTGCCCGTTTGGCAAACTGTACCAAGCCATATTCTGTCTATGTTGACGAGACAATGTACTATATTCAAATCCAAGTGCAGGCTTCTGTGCAAACCCATCCAACTTTCAATTTGATTTCCCCTGATGGTAACCTAGTCAGCCCTAATAAGATCACTATCCAGACTAGCCGCGCATATGAAGTAGGTTCAAACTCACTTCCATTATCATCTGTCTGACTTAGGCTTTCTATTCCCTACCTGGTGCCGGAATATACATGGTTGTCCCATCCGCAGATGTGACTGACCAATCTTGCAACTTACTAGTTCAAGCAAACACGGAAATTTCAGTGGTTGCCGGATTCACATCTACTGCTAATGGAGTACAGTACGTTTCAAAGCTACTCACATGAAACTTCTTTAATTTCTCTATACTTTTTTATTATCTTTGTATTCCTTTCCTTACAGTGAAGATTTCCCAACCTCACTCGGCTATATCGGAGGTTTCACTACAGTAGTCGCTCACATGTTCGGAAGATTCGGTTCCGCTAAACTGATGTCTGTCAACTTCTTCGGAGAGAACAATGTAATGTTTTGTAGCTTATTAAATTTAAATCTGTTTTTCAGGTTGTTTATACACCAATGCCACTGCTCGACCGATTCAAGTGCTTCTATGAGTTCTACATCCAATCAGCTGTCTGCCCATCTGTTGGAAACTATTACATGCAGGTTGTCCAGAAAGACAATTTTATATTTACTGTTAAAATAGTTCCAAGGAATAACATTCGGTGGAAACACATTCCGTAGAATTGTTCCTTACACTTGTAACAACCCTCTACCAACTACAAGCGCACCAACCACAACTGCAGCTCCACTGACTCAGTAAAAGATTCTCTTTTCCTGATCCCTACTTACCTCTTGCTTATTTTTTAGATGCAAGAACCGCGGTGTTATGATTCGCAATATGAATGAGCCAGCTTACTGTTACTGCGAAGGCATGTGGACTGGACCTGATTGTTCTACGATCATGTGTATGAACGGAGGTTTTGTCATATAAATATCATTCGAAGCTTATTCATCTTTTCTCAGGATCTGTAAATAAGCAAAACTCATGTGACTGTCCAAATAGTTTCGAAGGGCAATTCTGTCAAAACGGTATGACATCTGCCTAAGTTTTTTCTTATCTCCGAGCATTATTCAGTTGTCTGTACTGATGATGCTGACTTTGGATTCTCGACAGATCACGTCACCCTCACTTTTGTTCTTCGAGCTCGCCAGCAACTGAACAAAGTTATCGACGCGGTACGAGATATCCCATATAAAATAAAACAACTTCGTTTTTAAGGTTACTAATGCTACACAGCATGTGATAAACAATATGGAAAATACTGAACCTGGTTTCCTTAGAAGCTATTTACTTGTTGTGTTCAGCGGTGACCGTAAGACAGGCTTTCTAGTTTCAACGACTTAAAATTTGATTTAGAAATAATTCACAACCTGCGTTATAGCAACTCTTCACTCTTAATCAGTGACATGAGACAGGTTGCTCAATCCCAGGACTCATTTGGAGCCTGTTCGGATTCCGTTCTTAATGGTATCAGGTAAGTATGAGATCAGGCTTAGATCTACAAACGTCATGTAGAATGATCATATGATCCTGCTATGTCGGTGAAGTCATTTACGTGTTTTTTCAGTGCGGTTCTGTCAATGTATCCTGAAAACAATTCACCTGTGTATATTGTGACTGATGCTATTCCTGATGATTTGAGTTTGAAAGAACAACTTTTAGTGCAAATATCCTTATGGAGAAATCCAGTAAGTTTCTTGTGCAACTATATGGTGTAAGTTTCAATAAATTCTAGCTGAATGTGCTTTTCGTTGAACCAGTAGGAGCTAATTGCTTCTTCACTGTAGAAGATCCGAACTACAGAGGATTAGACGATATCGTCAAGAAGAGTGGTGGTATGATAATGCTTGTCGGGCCCACAACCGACGTTGAGCAAGTTAGAAAAGTTTTATTTTCTGGCCTTATCTCTTTTATTTTCAGCTAACATACTCTCATATGACAAGGACTGCTTTCCATACTCAAATGCTCTTGTCGAACGATTTGGATGTAAGATTTTTGATTAAAAACTTTTCTTTACTCAATTCTAGGTTTGTAATCAACAAAATAGTTACCAAGTAGCTAGTGTTGACTTGGATGTCGAAGAACTTATTATCGTTGCAACCGGAGGTGGGTAGTTCACCACGTTCGCTGAATGAGTTATATTTCCAGAAGCATTGAGTTTGAATGTCACTGATCCAGATCAACATACACTCAGGTTCTCTCCAGTTTATTCTGATCGGGAAACTAGGATTTGGTAAGATTCTTCTGTTGTCCATCACTTCTAATATTTTTCCAGGTCTCTACTCAATCCACAGGCCGGAAACTATTTCATTTCGTTAGCTTCGGACTTGGTTAACGGAGCGTGTAATTTCAAGGTTTTCCAGCGAACTCGCCCAGGAGACAACGGTGAGTAACATCTTAGACTTTTTGATTAACACGTAAGTTTTACTTCAGGACCCAACTCTCCTAGCCATGAAATGTTCTTTGCTTTCACTGCTCTGATTGACAGTGATGGTTTCTTCTTCCAGCCTGTTGTCGGTTAGAATCGTTTGATTCAACAGAGTTTAACTGTACATTACAGGACTGAGTTCTTCCTTGGTAGTTCATTTGGCAAACTTCCAATATGCTCGTAGCCAAGAACACGTGAGAGCTGATGTTACAATGTATACTCAACGTGGTGGAAAGCAGCATGAAGTATCCAAAAATCCAAGATGGTTTTTTTCATTTTCATATTTAGATATATGCCTCTAATGGTTTGTGGAGAGATGGCTGTAGTTACAACTTCTACTTCCCACCATTCACTTGTCAAGTACCTGATGAAACCATATACTTTAATGTAAACGTTCTTTTCTCCAACCTCCTCTGATTTTGTCTTTCAGTTCTATGCTAATGATCTATATGGCTTGTCAATTCAACGATCTGGAGTCATTTCATGTTTGACATGTAATTGGAAACATTTCTGAATTATATAACGATACATCTAAATTTA